AGAAAAAATCATGGGAAAATTGCAAACTCYTTGGCGCTAAGGAAATTATGAGTGCAATTTCCTGAGCTCTGTGTGAGGAGCTGTCGGGTGGCTCTTRCTATTAGAAGATTTATAACGTGATGCTGAGGTTGGAGGGAGATGTGGACGCATGGGATGCTGCACAGGGATGTATATCCCACAGAAACAACCGTGACCAAGGCGGCCACCTCGTCCCGTGTCCCCGTGCACAGGCAGGATCCAAGGGGCAGAATCTGGAGCGCTGGTGCCCTTGGCAGCTCGGAGCCACAAMGAGCCGGTGACAGGAGCCAAGGGGACCGGCCGAGACCGAAACCTGGTAACGCCTGATAAATATTTACGGACTGGGGCTGGGCTGGTGCCGGCTCCCTGMGCTCCCGCGGAACCGCGGCCCTGTGCTGGGCACGGGAACGGCTCCTGCGGCTGCTCCGCGGCTCTGCTCCTTCAGAAACAGGCACAGAAGCAACTAGTGACCCCGGCAGCCGATTTGGCTGTGGGATGTTCACTTTTCATTGCTGCAGAGCTGTCGAGTGCCACAAAGCATCTATAGAAGGGATAATGTAGTCTGTTTGCCACCAAACCAGAGGAGAAAAGGAGACGTTTTTYGCCATCAGGCATTTGCATCAGTCTCTTTTCTTGCTGATCCTCCAGCACCCTGGAGACTGAGAGGTTTTACAGTGCATCCTAAGAGTAGCAGCAGTTAATATTAAATAAGGAGGTGAGAAAGGAAAGCGATAGCCCCCCCATGCCACATTGGGGTACAGTCAGCGGGGGACAGATTCTGGCCTGCAGGCAGAGGATGAGGTTGATGTCTTCTTCCCTGGAGGAAGCATCCAGCAGAAGTCAGGACACTGTGGATAAGCTCCTGCAGACAACAAGGCTCAGGGGTAGCTGCTGGCTATGCTCTCAAACCCCCTTGATCCTACCTTAGCTCGCAGGACCAGGAAGGACAAGGAGGGGTATTTCTGTTGCTGTTTCAACGTAGGCAGCTTGTGCACTGCAAAGTGCTTTGGTGCTCCTTGGGCTCCTGTTCTCCCGTGCACTAAGCACCCTTTGCTCCAGCCCAACACGGCAGGCACGAGCAGCTAACCTCGGTATAGAGCCGGCACGCTGCTGAAAAACGACAGCTTTGATTTAYGCACTTCTTTATCTTTGCCTGCGTTCCTGCGAGCTGATGCGGACAGGAAAGGCAGCGACGTTCACACATATCCTTAGAAGTGGCTACGGCCACACTATTCWGCAAAACAGCCCGGGTTAGGAGTTTGCAACCATATATGGCCTCCTCGGGGCTGGAGCGGTGCCGGGAGCAGGGCTGGCACCCCTCGGAGGAGGACGGACAGCRGAATTTCCTACGAAAGGCCAGCTAAGAAAGCCCAAATCCTTCTGTATATACGCCTGTCTAAATATTGGACAACAAATTCAAGGCTCTGCTGCCCTGGAGTCCGGAGCCTCCCGCAGTCGTTACGGGACTGGGTGGCCCCAGGCTGGGCTCTAGCTGCCCATCACGGATGGTAGGAGCCGAATGCAGGACAAACATCATACGAGGGCTTCATGTCCTCAAGGGATGGGCTCCAGAGCCCACAACAGGCTACAGTTTGGTGTGTCCTGAGCTTGAAGGCACCGGGAGAGCTATACCCACATCGTGGCTGGGGAAGGGGCTGTCGGAGCAGGGCAGCTCTGGGCAGTGCTGCTGTGATCRTGCTGGGCATAGAGCACACAACAATATTCTCTCCTGTGGTCCCTCATGGCCTTGGTACCTTTTATTGCAATTGCCACAAGAGCACCGAYTCTCCATGTCCCCGCTCCTCGCCTTCTCTCCTAGTTATTCACCAGTCACAGATACATATGGCCAGAAGATCTTTTTTTTYTTTTTTAGTTTTTTTAATTGGGCTCACAAGCACCTGAAAGGTGCTTCTGCCTCCACCTCTTCTCTTTCCAAGACACATCCTGCAGTATATCCCTCTTACCTAGTGGCAAACGCTGTGCTGGGGCTCTCGGATGGGAGCCAAGCAGAGAATAGGTCCTCTTGCACCRAGCAAACCACCATCATGACCACGAGGCTCCCGGGAGCACATTGGTAGYACCAGGTAAGAGCAGAGGAGATTCATTGCTGCTGGTGAGCAGCGAAATTCCTCTTGTGTGTGTGGCCAGGGACATATAGCAGGAGGGACATGGGGGGAGRTGCTTGGAGTTGGGGAGCCCGGAGAGGGGCAGCATCCCATGGGAAGGGGCTTTGCAGATGTGGCCGGGACTGGGGCTTGGGACAGGGCTGGGTGACCCTGCAGGGACCCGGTGGTGGCCCACAGCTCCTGCCCTTTCCAATATTGCCATCTAGAGGACCCGCCAAGGACAGGAGAAGCTCGCAGGCAATGAGGAGCTAAGGAAGGAGATGGCGAAGCTGCTGCTTTCGTTGTGCCTTGCACCAGGGCTCTCCCTGCACGACACGGGGATGGAGGTGGTGCACATGTGGCTGTCCTCACCTTGCACAGGAGCACACAGGACTGTCCAGAAAACAGCCCTGGCTTTTGAGGCTGCGGATGCCAAGCCTTGCTCCACACCAACCGCGTGCACCAAGATACCACAGCCAGCTCCAAGTCCCACCGGGCGCCTTTTCCTGCTGCTGCAGGGGAGTTAACCCCTAGCCCTGTTTCAGCACAACGTGGCCCATTCCCGAGGAGCCTGGGCACTTCTGCGGCGGGCAAGAAGCCACCCCAAGGCATTTGCTCTGCTGCGCACGCGCATCCTTGTTTGCTTTAGCTACGGGCCCAGGCACRGCACGCGGACAGCGGGATTAGCGCTGTTTATGCCGCCTGTCAGGATTCTCCAGGTGGGACAGCTCCCAGGGGAAATCGTGGTATTTCAGAGCTAAAAAAAAACCCTGGTTCCTGCCCCGTCCCCGGGAYGGGCAGTGTGGCCCCGACGGGCGCTTCCCGCTCACGCGGCTTTAGCGAGCGGCGCTCGGGGCCACAGCACAGCCTGGTGTGGCACCCACAGGATCTCGGGAAAGCCGAGCCGATGCTCCCAGATTAAAAAAAGTGTGAATTCCTCACTGGCAAGCTATTATGAAAGCCCTGTTTTAAAATAAAAACAACAACAAAAACAAACAGTAAAGTCCCTACCMAGCTTTTGCATGCAAGGGCTTTTTGCACCTACTCACTGTCCTCTTCAGTCCAGATGGGTGAAGRTTTTCCTGCAATAGTGCAGCAGGTTTCTTCCTTGCCTCTATGTAGCTGTGATTTACACCRTCGAGTAGAGATAAGAGTGATACCCCACGTCCTGGGAGGGGGGTTGCTCTTGTCCATGTGCCACCAACCCCCCGACCTGCTTTTCCAGGGCCCCCTGCGCAGCTTTTCCCTTGCAAACCTCATCCAAGGTCAGACAGGGGCTTTATTCCTGCGGGAATTAATGAAACAGCACACACACCTCCAGAAAAACAAACAAAAAAAGTCTTTTATAGGCCCATAATCCTTCTTTCACAGTACAACGCAACAGGGAGAGGGTGGGTCAGTGTAAACAGAGGGTCCAACAGTGATCATCAGCTATCACAGATCAGCTGCACAAACACCACAGCTACAGAGTTAATGCCGTTACCGCACGAGTTGACAATACTAGTACAAACCAGGACTTGAACCTAGGATGCTTCTTCATGTGCAAAAAAAAAAAAAAATCGTGTAAATTAATTTACAGAAGAAGAATGGCACCTTATATAAAGTTTCAAGCAAGCTACAAACTACCTGCTTGGGGCTGCCTAATCCAAGTGGCAAAAGGTGCCCGTGGGCTGGTTTTCCAAGGCGCTGARTCCCCTTGTTTTCACAGGAACCATCCAGGCTCTGCCTGGGAAAACCAGCCCCTCTTGTACTGCTGCAGGACAAGAAGAAGGATCAGCTGAGGATTAATCCGAGTCATTTATTAAACCACTCCTGAATTTCAGCCTGGATTTATTCATTTACCAGCAGTATTCCAAACCATCCTGGCTATATTGTGAAACAGAACAGCATTCACAGGCACCCCATCAAAGCATCAYTTGCAAACAATTTTTTTTAAAAGTGTGAAGTTGAGCTGTCACTGGCATCGAAAGCTGAGGCTTGTAGTAATATGTGGGAAAGCTGAAAAGACACTGGATAAATTACTGAAGTCAGAGGGTGAAAGATGGTTTAATATTTAAAAAGGAGGTAACTGGGGCCTTGATGTAGCCTTCGGTGCAAGTGGTGACACCTGGATTTACCATTCCCAGCTCCTGGAGAGGTTTCAGCAGCAGGGACAGGGACCCCTGAAGGGACACAGCAGCAGGAGCCTGCCTGTACCCCTGGGAAGATTTTGTAAATTGAATTCATAGTCAGACCATATCAGAAAATAAAAGAAAAGAAAAGAAAAGAAAAGAAAAAGAAAAAGAGGTTGTTATTTATCAAATCTCTTAAAAAAGCAAAGCTAGTGAGAGAAAAAAAATAGGAGAAAGGATGGAGAAGTGATGCAGCAAACCTAAAGTCAATAGGTACCGACTTTTTTTTTTTTTCCTCTTTCTAGACAAATGAAGTTAAGTTACAGACATCATATAAAACGCACACTTTATGGAGATCCTGCATAGCAGGAAACAAAGAGGCTAGCACTAATCCAACAGCTACGTTAACAGCTAGAGTGGCCACTTCTCGGTACGAGCGGAGCCTACGCCTGGGGACGACAGAGCCCAGGCCCTGGCCACGAGCCCCACGGCAACRCCTGCAGTTTGTTCACAAGGAAAAAGAAAGAACTTTCTCGGGGATAAACTGCCAAAATTATTAGTTTCACTCCAGAACRTTTAAGGCAATGTTACTTAGACCTGAGAAAATGAAAAACAAAATTAAAAAAAAAATTAATTTAGTTTCTCAACTATAAACGCACGCAGAATTTCCACGTTTCCCGACTCCTCCGCGGCGGGTGCAGGGAAGGCGCTCGGAGGGTGCGGGGCTGATCCCAGATCCCACGGGATGCGGYGGCTGCTCCGCAGGAGTCAGGAGCACTCCCACCACACTGCACTTTTGCTGCCCAGTTCCTGCTTTTAGCAGAGAGCAGGACAARCCAAGCGCAGGCTTGAAACCCTGAAGGTCCTGTAGAGCAAAAGCGTGGCTAAAATAGGCAATAAAACTGCATACAGCAAATTTCTGTGCCTTCCCCTTCTCCGGGGGAAAAGATGCCAGGGCTGAGGATCTCGCTGCACCTTTTGCCGTTGCCGTAACTAYGGAGCAAATCCCGTAACACTAGTGCGAAATCGCAAATTGTTCTGCGCTCTTCATTGGGAAAACAACCAACCAAACAAGCAAAAACGCCCCAAAACAGACGCGGCGTCTCTCAGTAAACAGGAAGCGACGTGAGAGCGAGCAGGGCCACAGACACACATGCTAACGTGAAGGGAGCGYGACACAAAGTGCAGTGATGGGACTGTACAGGGGGACGGATGGACAACTGCCCTTGGGTACCACCGGGTGCTGGGCACCTCCGGGGGTCCCGGCTGCCAGCCGGAGCGGCCGGCACAGCACGGATCCGCCGTGGCTCCGTCGGGATCGCTCCAAGCACAGGGACACGCTTGCTGCCCGAGCGCGGAATTTAGGTGCCCACAGAGGGGTTTGATGGCTCTTCCCGGAGAGCTGCTGGAGCAGCAAGTGAATGACGGGCTGGGCCATAAAATCCAGGGACCGCCGTGTGACTTGGGCAGCATCGTCCCCTTCTCCCCGTACAAATCCTCACCTCGGGCTCCAGGCGAGCACCCTGCACCGCTGCAGACCGCTCTGCCGCTGCTGAGGCCGGGGCAGAGGAGCCAGCTCGCTTAAAATAAGAAACTCCATCCCTGTTCCCTCCCGTCCCTCYGCTGGGACGAGCATCCCGGCTCCGGTTCCCACAAAGTAGAGGTTATTGCTGGCCGCTGCCCAGCGAGACGGGCTGTCAGCAGACGTTCCACTGACGTTTTAATGTGATTATCCAAAGGTCAGAGACAAAATTCCCCATCTGAATAGAAAGTAATTTACACTGCTCACCGCCTACCCTGCCTGCCCTGCTCAGCCAGGTACAAAGGATGAGTGGGGAGGCAGCTCCTTTACTTACCCAGCTGGAACCTAAACCCTTCATCAAATCACACCATAAAAGAAGCTCACTGTGTGCAGAAGATTCTTACGCTAAAACAGTTCCACCCTACACAGTGCAGTCAACACAGTTTTTAACTTAAATTTGCAGCTTGTTCCTTACAAGTGCTTGGCAGAGAATATTTATATTCTTCTGACACCATATAAATAATATTTATACAGCTTAGACATTTTGAGACATGCATTAGACTTTAGGTAGTACATATTTCTTGATCATATATGCAAATATTACTGTCATTTAACTGAGAAACCTTATGCGGGACCATGCCTTGCGTTATCCAGGATGTTTGACGGTGGCTCCGAGTCATCCATGGGGAGAACCAGGCGCGTTCCGCGGATTACGAGTTCATGGTCCCCGAAAGCGAGCTCGCGGTCCAGTGCATCCTCGGAGCTGTTGCCGACGAAGCGCCGCGACGTGCCGCTGGAGGCGACCGAGTCGGTGTTGACGGTGGAGTCGCCGTACGTCAGGCTGATGTCGCCGTCGTTCAAGATGAGATCGGAGTCATCATCCTTCAGCTGCTCCTGGTTCTGGGTGGCAAACACAAAGAAAACTTTGGTTGGAGCTTCCCGGACGGGAGCGTTTGTAACAGCCCGGCCGCTGCTGATGAGTCTGAATCACGGGCTCACCCTCGCCGTGACCATAACCAGATGTGCTGCAAAAACCTCTTTGAGCCCAGCCGACTCGGGTAACATGTTAACTTCTCTGCAGGCTATTTGAAAAGGGCTCTCTTGGCTCTGCTCTCTGATGCTATATACAGACATATGGAGAAGACAGTTTKGATGGGCTTTAGCTGGACTACACACTCACATGGTGCTAGGAACTGAACTGGGAACCCACCACAGRCATCTGTGTTTGGGACGCCAATATTTTGCAAGCAGGATGAGGTATCTCCTGCTGCAGAGCTCCCACCACAGCGATCCCTCAGTGCCAGCTCCAGCACTGCCACCACAGAGGGATGCCCAGGAGCCCGAGTYGGGCAGCAAACCCGGCTCTTGGAGCGCATTTTGCATCCAAAGGCTGTGGAGAGATGCAAACACGTCGCCCTCCCCCAAGAGCGGGACGGAAGGGCCCGCGAGGTGGCCCCAGACTCACTTCGTAGGCCTGCGGACTCGTGAGGCACCTGGCGACGGGCCCGCAGCACGCGGGCAGCGTCGTGGTGAGCGGGGGACCGCTGTGTGTCAGCAGTGGCTTCAGGTAGCTGTGCAGAGGGCTAAGGAAGAGGCAGGAGCACCGCGACGGGGTCCCGGGGTCCCGGGTTTGGGAGATCCCCCGCYGGGAGGACAGGGGGGATTTTACTGTTTGTGGGGGATGCCGGGTGCTGCAGAGGTGCCCACAGCTCTGCTGCTCCTCGGCTGAACCGCAGCTCTCAYGGCTGCGGCACGGGAACGTGCAAAGCAAAACCCAGCTGCAAACGCAGGCTCCTCCACCACGGAGTGAACGAGACCCGCTCGGAGTCAACRGGGACCCCTGACCCGCAGGATGCGGCACCCCCCGAGCCGGCTGACGGTCAAGGATACTTGTGGTCAAAGTTGTACCATATGCGGAAGAGCCAGGCGCTTTCTGCCTTYGTACTCCTCCTCTCGCTTTCCGGGACGCCCTGCGAGACAGTGAAATGTTAAACAGGGCAGGACGATGCATCAACAGCGCTCAGAGGGCCAGAGCCTCCGTGAGGCACCCAGTTACCCCCAGCCATCCACCTGCTGCCTTTCCAGGAAACCTGTGCACTCCAGGGAGCAATGAGGACGTTCGTAGCATGTCAGGCTAAAGTCCTCCCAGCCCTGCGTTGTGCATCTGGCAGTATGTGGCAGCAGACATCACTTAAATGTGATGTCTGGATCCAGCCTCGGAGCCAGGAGCTGCATCCAGACATCACATTTAATAGTGACTGACAGGTCCAAGCTCCGTTGATCTTGCCTGAGACCTTGTTTGCAAATAATCCYGTATCATGGGGATTCCTGCCTTCCTTGGGGTTGGGGGAAAATAGGAAACTGTTTGAAGGCGTCTGTGAATGCAATTACACATTTCATAGAAATGTGGCTTTTGGACTTAGGGCTCTGGGCTGTCTCAGCTTCCTTGCCAAGAAGTGAACAGCCCGGTTAATGGCCTTGAATTAAATAAACCTCTAAGGGGCCGAGCTCACATGGAAATCAGTGAGAGCCTCGGCCAGACGCAAGCGGGTACAGCCCTCGTCTGGGAGCCACTGTTTCCCRCTGCAACAAGTAACTGCATGCAGGGGACAGCAAGGCAGGGCAGAGGTTTAGAAAAAACCTCTGGGTAAAAACGGGACCAACGGTGTCACAGTAAATGCCATTTCTGTACTGCACCATGTGCAGGAACGCAGTAGAGAGCGGGCTCAAACTGCAATCCCCAAACTGCAACCTCAGCAGCAGGAAGACTGCAGCGATAACTTCACACCCTCCAWTCCTCCATGTCAGGTACATTTTGATTTTCATTTCAGTTGCACATCATAGTTCCTTGTTTCCACATTTATACTAAGCAAGCAAAACCAGCAGATGCACTGGGGCAGTAATCTGCACTGATTAAACAGTGTGATGTTATTTCCACAGTCTCCTCTCCAGCTGAATAAAAGGAGGCCTCAGTTAGACTACAGAGGGCACAGAAAAGCAACGGCTCGTGCTGACTGCAAACTCTTTCACAGAGGGGACCAAGGACCCTGCTCCAGCTGGAAGGGCGACGGGCACAGAGGAGCATTCACGGGCCCTCAGCTGCGCTCCCCAGCGCGAGCACAAAACCCGCTCCGCAGAGCGCCTGGGACTCACCACGTTCTCCTGGTCTGCATCCACACCAACCCTGCGGAGGGGAAAACCAGCACACGGTGAGGACACGGGCTCCTGCACAGACACGCAGCGCCGCGCCAGGGCCGCGCACAGAGCTCCCCTCTGTTTTTAGGGCAAACCGAGTCCTTTTGCCGTTTCCCCTCTCCCGTGGGCACACGTGGCTCGGGGCACATCCAGAGCAGCGACCACGCTGCCMGGAGCTCCCTCCGGAGCCAAGGAGAGGGGGAAGCGGGAGCAGCTCCGTTTGGGAGCGCGGCTCCGGCACCACCGCGCTGGCCGAGCGCACTCACCGGATATTGAGGCAGGAGAGCATGGCCGTGGTGCCCCCGCCGAAAACCCACACCGTGAAGAAGACGATGAGCAGCGTGGTGCTGAACATCATCTGCCGCGCGTAGGTGGCCGTGTCGCGGATGGCCAGCGCGAAGGCCATGGCTCCTCGCAGCCCTGCGGGGGGACGGCAGCAGCAACGAGCTCGGTCAGTCTACGGGGCGGCTGACACCTCCACTTCCCAGGTCTGGGCCATGCACATGGGCTTCCCAGCCTGGACATTCCCAGCACTCCTGGCCCCGTGCGCCTGGCTCAGCACTGTCCAGCCAACAGGACGTTCACCACAGATCGCAGAGCTTTAGCGGTCATGCTTTACACTCATGCTGTGAAGTTTGGTGTTAGCACCATCGTTTTCCACCTCAACATGCCCAAAGTGGCCAACTCTCTCTCCGCTGTCACTGCACACTGTTCACTCAAGTGTAGGACCAGAAGATGCCATAATGACATCTCCAAAGCCAAAAGAGCCCTTCCCTGCCCAGCCTCTTCCCCCAGGAGAYTTCACATTGAAAGAGGAGGAGGAAGAGGAGGGTCTCCCATCACCACAGAGGTGAGCAAGTGAAGAGGGACCATGTGTTTGGAGACAAGGACACACTAACATACCAGCAAACATCATCATATGCTGCAAATTTGTTCCAATCTTATTTCTTCTGCCCAGATTGAGTAGAAACGACAATGGGTAAATGTTGGCCGCTCTTCCTAGGAAGATAGCAAGCTACATTCGCACGAGTTAAGGAAACTGCTCTTCCTATGTCTCCTCTTGTACCCTTCCCTCTGTGCGCCCAGCCAACTCCTCCTGCACAGCACAAACACTGAGGAGCTTCAGAAACACGATGGAGCTTTCTGTGCAAAAGGAGGAGCCCAGCTCCAAGTGTGAGAGCAGTACAAGGAGAGCAGGYAATGCAGGAATATCTGAGAAACACACTGAGAAAAGCACAAAGAAAGGGAATGAAGCAGCTTAGGTAGGATGGAGGTGAGATGAACCTCTGCTTCCCTCTCTGCCTTCTCCCTACAGTGCTCATTTTCCACAAGATCATCTGTCCTTTGTGAAGCTCAGGCTATCTCAGCTGCCAGGACCTCCCCATTTCCCGGCACGCCGCTCTTCACAAACAGGTTTGAAGCTTTAAGGCAAGTTCAGTTCCCCTAGATTATTCAGCAAAATGAAAGCAGCAGCTATGGAGGGAGAAGAAAAAAAAAGAAAAYCTAACACTCTCTGATTTCATAGCCTGGGAGATATGCAGGAATCACCAGCCTCTTCAGATTGCTTTTATCTTTGAAGCTGTGTCTTTTATTACTAGCACCCAGATGGCGAAAATAATCACGGAGACAGAATTTAGTGCAGCCTAGAATAATATGTAAAATGCTTCCAGCTTTTATGTTCTTTCCTGAACATCATGAATTTGCATAAGGGACGTATTTCATGATCTCCCTCGTGAATGAGCAATTTCACCAGCAAGTGGGCCAGCTCCTGCTGAAGCAGCACAAGATTCCCAGCAAATCCCAAAATGGCTTTTCCAGGCTCTGTGCTCCCACCGATCCCAAAACCTGGCAGACACCACTGCAAGCCAAGCGCTGAGTCCCTGCAGCAGCTGCTTCTAGCACCCAAGGAAGCAGACAAGACAGAATAAAACAGAAAAGCTGGGAAAAGAAAAAAACTGTCTTTTTAAAATAACCACCAAAGCCACAAGGAGAAATCCCCATGCTCTTAAAAATAAAAATTGACTGAAAAAGGAAATAAAACCCATGTATGAAAGAAAAGCAAATTAGGAATGTGACATCTCTCCCTTCGTTTTCTCGTTGTACGAAATGGACTCCTGCAAAGGATACGAAAGCTCCCACCACAAAGGTGGGATTGAAGACGTGGTTCTGGAAGGTGAACAGCGCAAGTCCCATGTAGGAAAAGATGAAGTTTTCTGCCAAGAAATTCAGAAGCTCGAACAACTGAAAGAGGGAAAAAGAAACTATTAGGAGCGAGTCAAACTGCACAGATTTAACAAGAAAAACACGTCCGCCCATGCAATAAATATTTTTGTGAAACAGCTTCAGTAAAATCCAGCTGTATACAGACCAATGCACTTAAMTCTGACTAAAAGGAAAGAAAAATCCTTACTGAGCTTGAAATTCAGAGAGGCTGGACAGGGCAGAGCAGCTCCTACCTGCTTAGTTCTGTGCTGGGACTCAGTCGATAAGTTGTTATAGGTGTAGTGAGCCTGAGTGATCCCGCAGAACAGCACAGCCACCACACCTGCAAGCAGAGAGGCCCGTTAGCCCATGGCCACAGGAGGAGACYGAGTTGCAGGTGGACACTGGGGACATTAGGGGACCGCTGGCACGAGCGCAAGCCCTTAGACTGGTGCAAGGCGAGGGCGAGCACGACGTCCTCGCCGGTGCCACCGCGGGCCGCGCGGGAGCTTGCCTGTGAAGCCGCACGCTTCGGCTAGCAGGAACGTGCTCCAGGACATCAGGAAGAAGAGGCCGGTCTCCAGCAGCGGGAACTCCCGGAGTTTGGTGAACTTGGTGACGTTGCAGACTGTTAAGGACAACTTGGGGAGAAACTAAGGGCTAAGAGGGCATGCACTCTTGTTATACCTCACTGCAACCCTATACTGAAATGCTCAGTGTCACTAACTATTTAATGTAGGCAAGAAAACCAGAAGACTTTGGATATGGGGGAAATGCAGTACAGTAAAATGAGCTGCTGTTATGGATAACTTAGAAGTTGGAAAAAAACAAAGAAAAGGATATTAATGCTGTCACAACTCCCGTAGCAGCCCCCATTGCAAAAGACCCACTGAAAATGCCCAGGAAGATCCCAATGGACTTGAACATCGCTGTGACATCAAATGTGTGGCTGTTGTCACCTGCAGGCTGGTATGCAACAATGGACCTGAGAAGAGGGAGAAAAAACACGTGCTGGAACAAAAGGCTCCACAGGTCTGTAGGGAAACGGATGCCCCCAGCCCCTTCCTGGGCAGGGCCGCAGGCCCCCTGCACCCACAGTGCAGACTGTATCTGGAATTGTGTTTGGTATTTTGTATTCTGGCATTTTGGACATCAGTCCTCTTAAAAGCCAGGCACTTGKGGACCTTTGGGACCGGGAGGCCTGCGTGCTGGGACGTGCAGCATCTCACTGCTGACAGGGCTACCCCCGGGGAGCTGTAAGTCCCTCACTCCTATCGCATTTAACATGCACTACATCTGCTTTGCACAGCTCTGAAGTGAAATATCCCGTGGTAACACRGCAAATGGCACTGTGCCAGCTTCCAACAGCAATGCTATTATATTTATCAACCAAACTTCAACATAGCTTTTCTTGCATGATGATAAATTAGACAGCTGTGATGGCACTGGTTGTATTTCTGACATTTCTCACTTCTAACTCTGCGTTAACCAAGCCTTGTTTGAGCTCTTGCACCATTTTACCTGGAAAGAGGGTAAAATGTAGAACCCATATTCCTCTTCTACGCCCCATTTCGGTACTGAATCATTATTAGCTTTCTCTGATGTAAACTGATGGAAAACATTAACTTCCTAGCTGGCACTCCCTGCCTGGCTCTGTTAAGGCCCTTGGACGTGAACTTTCAACATTCACCTCCCCAGGTACGTGGGATGGAAAGTTACTGTCCCATGAATGCAGCCTGCTGCTCTCACCCCTATTCACAGCCCGACAGCTCTGCAATGTGACAGGTCTATTGTTTCCTACGGTCCCTGGGCCCAACAAACTGCTCTGCTTTTAGTGCATTTTAACTGTTCTGCAACAAAAAATTGTTTTTACACCAAAGCCACAAAGTTCTCCCTGTGATTTGATTTCTTTCCCCAATCCTGTCTTCCACTTTCTATTCACTAGCATATTTCAGGTTGTTTTTTTTCTTCTTTTTTTAACCAAGACTGATTTCATTTCCCCTCCATAACCACTGTGCATTTTAACCTGTTACAACCTCTACCTGGTTTTGCTTTCCAAGTTGCTAATAACGTGTCCCGTGACTGTCCTTGGTGCATCCGGCCCTGACTCTGGCACTTGGAGCCCTGCGAACCCTTTGCTGCAGTGAGCAGAGCCCTGTAGCCCTGTGGCCACTGCTCCATCCCCTGGCCCCGCTCCTGGGCGCTCACCGCGGCTCCAAGTTCAATTCCTCTTTATCTGGACTAAGCCTGAAACCACCTCCCTGCTACCGAACCCTGCCCGACGCTGCACAAAAGCACCTCCGGCGTGGGGACCGGGGTGCAGCTTTGCCCTGGCGTGTTTTACTTCCCCCCTCTCCTCTTCCTCCTCAGCACTGAGCCTGGGACTTCCCAATAYGCATCCCAGCCCGCTCAGCGCTTGGGCAAAGCATGGGCTGACTTAGTCTTCAGCGAGACAGCCCAGTCCTTCCTCTTGTGCAGCCCTGGGCACTTGTCCCTGAACACCTGGGGATGCTGCTGCACTGGGAGCAAGTCCTGCTGCACCAGCATCTCCCAGCTGAGCCTCTGCCAGGGGGCAAGCCCTGCTCAATTTTAAAAAATCAGACATCTAAATAAGAGTTGAAGCTTGCAGCCCTTGATGCCAGCACCTCCTTGCCACACAGGAGATGCATCTGCACCAGTCAGGGGTGGCCAGAGCTTAGGCAGCTCCAGATTCTCCTTGCAAAGCCTGCTTGGATTGACACCGGTGTGCCAAGCAGTATTCCCATGCCCTTGGCATTTATCCAGCTGCTCRTGGTGACTGCAAGGATGGAACATCCACGGTCACGCTTCGAATGGGTATGTTTGAAGAGATAGGGTCAGGGTGGCTGCTGTTTTGGGGCCAAGCATCTCACTGCAGAGAAAAGAGGTTGGAATTGGCTTGCGAGACAAGGAAGGCTGGAAATCAGAGCAAGAGCTGGCAGGAAAACACTGCAGGATGTCAATCATAGCGCACAGGGCACTGATTTAGGTTCCCAGCACTGTGTGGGCAGGGATCCATCAGGAATTTCACCACGCCAGTGCTCAGCCCGCTGACTCCTGCGAGCACCATCCATYCCCTGCAGCATCCACCTCCTCCTCGCTCTGCATCCTGGACAGGACCAGGCTCTGCAGCGCTGACCCTCGCCCCAGCGGTGACACATCCAGGGGGAAAGCCAAAGAGCAACACAAGCCGTTTGGAAGCCTCRACAGAACCGTTCCCTGTAGTAAATAAACCCCCTGCAAGCCGAGATTGGAGGCTCGCAATATGTTCCTCGCTGCCTACGTGTCAGGAAAGCCCACGCAATCGGCGTGCTCGAGTGACAAGTAYGCCAGAAATATTTTCTGCATTAGTCTTAGCTATAAGTTAACCTGTCATGATTGCGGATATTTTGTATATCCAAACTCCCAGGATGACAACACAATGGAAATGCAGATAAAATATGCTCTATGTGCCGAAATATTTCAAAACATCCTTTTGGGAGCCATCGAGTTTCCAGCGTGGATGGGCAGTGCAGCATTTTAACTCCAGGGTCAAGAAATGTCACAGTCTTGGTGCAGGAAGGTGGGCAGAGAAAGGCAACAGCTGCTTGACGAACTATTTCTGCCTGAAGCAAAGCAGGTATCTGTGGATAGGAGGCCAAGCAGGTCGGAGCAAACCCGTCTGAGAGGAGTTTCTGGAGGGTGCTCTGGCAGATAAGCCAGATCTGGTGCTTTTCACATTTCAGAGGACATTAAAAATCCCTTCTGACTAGGTCAGAAGGCCATGAGAGAAAGAAASAAAACTCTCCATCATACATGGGGTAGTTGCAATGATGATCCATGCTCCCAAACAGCAGTTTCGGTGAGGAGACTAACCAGGAGGTCACTAGCGCTTTTGGGGAGAGACAGTCAAGGACTGTGGTCTTACAAACACCGATGTTGGTATCAGAGAGGAAAAAGGTGATTCCCCCCGTGCCCAACATGTAACACGCACAACGGTTAAAAAAAGAACACACTTACGAGGACAGCACTATGGCAACGGCATCGTTGAGGACGCTTTCGCCAAAGAGAAGGGCATAGAGCTCCACATCAACCTGGAGTTCATGGAATATGGCAAGAACAGTCACTGACAAATAGAAAAAAAATAGAGAGAAAAGCAAAAAAGGTGCCGTTATTTCTGTGTCACCAAAGACAAAACACCCCTTGTAGGAAGCTGCCTTGTTGTACACTGAGGCCAGTTCCTGGTGATGCTCCCTGCATCCCCTTGTCCCTCTCCACGTTCTTCCTGTGCCCTTTCCGTGTTGCATTTGCCCTAGGTCCCAAATCCTGGAATGAGGTCTCCCCCTTCCACAAAAAGCTGACCACTGTCTCCTTTTAAAGGCATCCCCCAAAGCTCCTGCTATCTTGAGAGGTGGCTGGGGCTCCCCAACCCCACAACACTTCCCAAATGCTGCAGCCAAGCTGCAAAGGAAGAAGTTCTAGATCTGTTTGGCACGAGGCAAGAGGAAGGAGAAGCCTTTTTGCAGTGCCATGTTTTTAGGTGAAGTTGGAGCATGGAACTAAACATCTGCCACAAGAAAGCAATTCTGAACTAACAAATTCAGCTGAACAACATCAAGGTTTTTCACCTCGGTTTTACAAAACGCTTGAATAGACAAAGCCGTCACTACTGTCCTCAAGATTAAGACTGATTTTCAATGAGGTTAACACCTTCCAAAAATCCCAAATCCCCCAAATCCAAAACCAGGCAGCCACTAAAACCTCCCCACAACTCACACATCTTGCTCTGTGGCCACTGGCTGCTTGAGCAGCACGCGAGAGAAACAGCAGATCTGTCCCCAAACCCAGTGAAGTTAGGAACAGACTGCCTAGGACTCCACTGCAAGGATAAAGACTTAGAAAAAGGAGGTTTGGGAAAGATCCTACCCTTAACTGGAACGAACCAAAAAGAGACAACTTTGATCTCTCAAAACATTGCACGCAAACTTAAAATAAACTCTGGAATCCAGACAGAGGGAAATTCCTCAGGTTTCAGTTCTCTCTTCCTCTCTTTACCACAATTCAAAACAGAGCAAAACATAGGTAAGATGTGGAAAAAAAACCCTAACCACTTAACATACCTGGGTCAGTAGCTGATACGATAGCACCAAACAGGAGGCAGTCGGTGAAGTAGAAGTCTCCGCCGAGCTGCCCCGTGACTTTCATCAAGGCCACACAGCCGTACATGATGGAGCTGCAGGATCAGAGACAAGTACCCGAGCTTGAAGTAAATGCAGAAAACATTCAGATGGGATCAGCTCCCCAAATTTTGCCAGATTAGCCCCTAAAGTTACCCAGACTTGGAAACAATGAGGAAGGGAGTTGCATGAGCTAAGCCTGGGGAGAAACAGGGATTATGTCCCAGCAGGAATGTGGGATATCACGTCCTCACTACCATATGCTACACATAACATGCATTGTGTTCCTGGATAAAGTAGCATGAAAAGAAAAGCAGCAAACAGGCTAAGCCTGCCCTGAGCTGGTGGGACAGGCAGCAGCAAATGCATCGTGGCATTTTGTTTTAGTGGAATGAGGGTGGCCTGGCTTTGAAACAGCCAAAACCTTCCGTTAGGACCCAGTTTGCTTGACTCTGCTGTTTTCTCCTGCAGGAAGCATCCCACGCAAGCCAGCAATATGCTATTCAGATAGAAATTATCCAACTGACCCTGTTCAGACATGTTAATCATTGGAAATGGCCTCAGATCCCATGTCCCCTGCATCTGCATTCCCCAGGCATCCGCTTCCAGCRAACAGGACAAGGCTTGCCTTTAGATCCTGGGACCCTACTTTCTATTTTCACATYTTATGCATTCCTTCTGTTTGCTGCTGTGGTTTCTTCCTTTTTTTAAGAAAATCTGTACAGGAGGCCTCTCTTCCCTTTCGGTGTTGGGCTGACACCTGCACCAGACCCACACAGCGCAGCCAGTTCTGGCCCCGGCCACTCACCCGATCACCAGGCAGGAAATGGCAGTTCCAAGGAAAGCGTATGCTAGGATCGATCCCAAGTTTCTGAAGAAATGCCTCTAGAAGGAGAAGGAGAAAGCCCTGACTGGCACCATAGCGGCAGGGAAACCCCACGGGACCGGCCACGCACGGACGCGCCGCGGCTGCAGCTGCACCCAGCAGTGCAGCATTAATAAACATGCACCCAACCGCCTTCGTGTGCCAGGGTGTTTAATAACCTGCCGCTCTGAGTGATTTCCTAACCCAGCACCATCCCTCCTTCCTCCTGCTGCATGCCAAGCAGCCTCGTTTCCTCTCCTAAATCCAGAGAGCTGCTGGTTTGGTGGATACTTTGCAGCCCTCTAAAAGCTCCCAAGGCTTAAAAACGCTTTGGAGGTAGAGAAGGTAAAAATGCAGGTGTTGTTAAGACACATACCCGTTTTAAGCTGTAGCCTGCATAAAATATAATCGGAGGAAGCAAAATGTTGAAAAACACCTCGGGGTCAAAAGTCACCTGGTAAAGAAAAACRAGAGACAAGAAAAAAAGAAAAGGTTTAAATGGGTTGCTAAGTGAAACGGTGTGTTTTGCAAGATAAAATGTATACAGCACTGATATCAAATATCCTGAACACCCCTTGCGTCCTCGCCAGGTGACACAGTGCCAGGAGAACACCATGAGAACGCATGGGGGATCTTCTGGGGACACAGCCCAGAGTTTAAACAGTTAAAACTAAGACCAGCTGCAACCAGAGCTTCATGATGCCGAGTGTTCAGCTTACAATTTACAGCTGATTGCAAGTCCACTGGAATAAACTGTCCAATAAAGAAATGGGCTGGAGAGGCCCCCTCACCTTCCTCAGCATCTCGTTGTCCTGGACGTTGTTGAGCTCCTGGGCGCTGATCTCGCCCTTCAGGGTGTACTCGTAGTACTTGCCRCTGACGTTGACGAGCAGCGTGGCGGGGCTGCTGGGCACCTGGCAGCTCAGCGTCACGTTGTTCACGTCGCTGGGGACGTGGATGCCGTAGCGCAGCACCACGCCGACCAGCACCCCTGCGGGGACAGCGGCGGCGTCAGCGGGGCGGCATCCCGGCACCCCGGCCGGCGGGGCAAACGGGGTCCTGCTGGTACCGACTGGTCCCAAGAGCGGGCCCGGCTGCTCTGGGAGCCACCAAGGGAATACCAAAGAAACCCGGTGCTGTCAGGAGTACAAGCATCCTCAGAAAGACACCATCCCAGGTCAGTGCCATTTGCTTCAAGAAGCAGCCAGAGATTAGCACATKCAAAAACGCACATCAGGAATTTTTCCTTTTTCTCCCTGCTCATTCATACAAGAACCCTGTGCAATCCAGGCCACAGCCGCCCACGGCCATGAAGCAACATGTGATGGTGGCATCGAGTGTCCAACTCGGCGTCACTGCCCTGAAAGGGAGGAGCRTTGGGCCGGAGACCTCCGTCACCTCCTCCCTTTGCTGCTGTGATGGGGCAGCTCTCAAAGGAGCCCAGCAGCACCGAGGGCACCGGGATCCCAACCCACACCAAGCCCCGTGGTGGCAGCTCTTGGAAAATCCATCGTGGAGCTTCACTTGGAGACCTCCAGCAGCACCGGTCCCTCTTCCCTCCGCGGGACACCCACCAGCGGCCCCTCAAACGCCAGCGATGCCGCTCTGAAATCGGATGCCCGGCACAAGGGAGGAGGGATGGACGGGAACTCAGGGAAGCTCCCAGCTTCCCCTCCGCTCCCTCTGCTCCTAATCCCTTCCCCAGCAGCGCCACAGCTGATGGGCTGCAAAGGGAGACCTGACCGCACAGCTGCTCCCAGCCCCGCTCGGCTCCAAGCCRAATTCCAGCTCCTGCCAGGAGCAGGACAAGCGGAAAGGGACAGAAAAGGGTCTCCGTCAACCTGCTACCTGCAGCCCGGCTTGCACAGYGCAGCTTTTTAGGGACCAAACAAAGGCCTGGGTACCCAGACCTTGCACAGGGGACAGCCCACGTGCTCCTATCCCTGAGCATCCCACTGGRAACAGCACTTGGAAAACCCCTCTAGCAGCACTGGGGAGCTCACGCTGCCAAACTCGTACAAAAACAGCGCTCCAGGCGGGAACTGAACATCAGGCCCTACCAGGATGCTCATCCAGCCCTTTGATGTAAAGTGCTAGAGCTGATTTTCACTGCTTTTACCCCAACTTTGCTTTAGGAAAAGCAAACAGAAGCCCACGGGCTTTTGGAGGAGCTGCTGAACGTTTCCAAGGTGGGATTTCAAATGAAGACCAATCCATTGCCAYTCAATACATTGCCTGCGGATACACAAGGAAAGCACACGGGATGCCCAGGCTGACACAAATCTGGGCAGAAAAGCAAAGAAAAAGGTAGCGAGCGACTGAGTGGGAACTTCATTCGAAGCACCGAGACAGAGCTTGAGGGTCCAAAACTCCTCAGTCTCCCACCGTGAAGCCATTTCCAGCCGGGCCCAGCTCCGCGACGCCGGCTCGGAGCAGACGGAGCAGCACCCAAGGCAGAAACCCGCCCAAAACAGGAGCTTGTAACAGAGCAGAAATGCAGGTGCAGGAGGAAACTGCGATGCGTGTCGGCACAAAGAGATGCATGCAAAAATTTCACTTGTCTTTGCTTTTTTGTATAAATAAATAAATAAATAAATAAATAAGAAAGAAAGAAAATTTAGAAAATCCGAACACTTTAACAAATTGCTTTTCCTACCCACACGCCAGCACCTATTTCAAAGCCTGCCGAGCACTTCCACATTTTCGGCCAACTTCCTCCAGGCTGAAAGCAGGGCCAGGGTGGCGGATCCGCAGGGAACGCACCCRACGCCCGCAGCTTCCCGGCCGGAGAGCGAGGGTCTCGCCAAGCCCTGGGAAGCTGCACCCCCCTTTTCCCAAGGCGRCTCTCATGATGCGAGACACAAAATGCCCAAGTTTCGGCAGCGGGGACAAAGTGGGGCTTTTGCAGTGCAACCGGTCTGGTGACATTACTTATTTTGCCAACACTTCTCTTTAAGTTTGCAAAAGAGCAGGCGGCAACGGCGCGTTTTGGGTCACGGAGAGGGCCCAGTTCCCCAGTGCTCACAGGACGAAGCAGAAGGAAACTCCAGAAAAGAGGCAAGTTACGGAGCAGCCTGAAGGAATAAATGGAGCCGGATAAACGGCGCAGGCGGGAAGCCGGGGCTGCCGTCAGCTCTGCTAGTTTGTAAACACCGGCCGGGATTTCGTGCCCCTGGGCTCGCAGAGGCTACTCCACCCCGTTGCTCTGAAGGACACTTCCAATTAACCAACATTTAGGATAACCGAAGCCGGCGGCCTGAACGCGTAAAGTTCCAGTGCGGAAAGCGGAGCCCTTGCTCGGCCACGTCTCTGCTCCCGCTGGCACCCGGCTGCAACCAGCAACGGGAGGAAGAGCCCTGGGAAGAGGGAGCAGCCCCAGCGCGTGCAACAAGGCACCTTTTTCACCCTGGACACGCTGCAGGCCGCCTCGCCCCGGTCCCCACCGCTCCACGGCACCTCCAGGTGACGACGGGAGTCAAAAGCCGCCCATAACTTCCCACCTGCTATGGACCTGCTGCCCCAGGCATCTCTGGGCATCTCACATAAAGGCCTCGTCCCCACGGGGYGGGGATCGAGTTTCCCAAGGGTCCCAGTGCAGCCCAGGTCCAGGCTGCCGCGACGGCCCCTGCACACCCCGCTCTCCAGSCACTTGCAGGAGCAGCGGTGCAGGGGCTCATGGATGGGCTGGAAGAGGCTTCCAACAGAGCCTGGGGGGGTCCTGCAAGCCCCACGGCCCCACGCACGGCTGCATCCCGCCCCGCGAGACCCCTGCCCGCTGCACGGCCCAAACCCGCTCTGCAAAACCCACGTGTGAGAACAAGGGAGCAGAAAACACCCTGGCACCGACACGAGGGTGGGGGCACCCTGCAAGGCGGTCCTGCCATGGGCCAGGCCATGAGGAAGCCCAGGGGGTGCAAATGGGGATGGGGTCTGCAAGCGGAGCCTGGTAGGGGCTTGTGGGGGGGGGTCAGCCCAGGATCCCTGCACGGACAAGACTCACGTCAGGGGTTTGCAATGGGGAGCCTGGGGGTCTCGCACGCCCAGGGGGAGGCCCCTGCTTGCACAGGGGATGTGGGCACCCCGGCATGGGTGGGTGGCCCAGGGTGCCATGGGGGAGCCTTGCACAGGGGTGACGCATGAGGGCCACGCGTGGGGGCTGGAGCACTATGGGGCCATGCACTGCAGGGGGGACATGGTGGGGACAACACAATGCTTGGGTGCGTGCAATGCACGGGAGGACATCCTGCACAGTGGGGTGGGGGGTGACCCGGGGGGGG